TGTTGCTGTTAAGCCCTGGCCCCAGCTCCGAGCTGCACCCTCCAGCCCTAAGCCCCCCCAGCCTGGAGCCCCCTCCAGCACCCCAAACCCCTCATTCCCAGCCCCACCCCAGAGCCTGCACCCGCAGAGGGAGCCCTCACTCCCCCTGAACCCCAACCCCCTGCCCCAGCCCAGTGAAAGAGAGTGAGGGTGGGGGAGAGCAAGCCAGCAAGGGAGGGGAATGTAGTGAGTGGGGGGCAGGGGCAGGGCCTCGGGGAAGGGGCGGGGAAGGGGGCATGACCTCAGGGAAGGGGCGGGGCTAGGGTGTTTTATGCAAATAGAAAGTTGGCAACCCTAGTTGGAACTTAAGTTGGAAGCTGATAGCTTGCAAACAAACATTTCTGAATTTTTGTTTCTTGTTTTTCTAAGATAGTGTACCATATCTTATACAAAAAATGAACATTGTGAGCAAAACATTGTACGGTCTGGATCTTGATGATCAAAGAGCTCATGGTTTACTTGGAGGCCTTCAAGAAACTTGACTGGAATAATGGTCTTCAGGGTTCATTGTATATATAAAAAAGCAGCTTCTTCATGGGCTGGAACATTAGGGATGACCACACAGTTCATAAAGAGAATATCCTGAAGGAGGAAAGAATTAATTGGTGAACTTGCAACAGACAAAGGGTCATCAAATCCTCCCCAAAATTTTGAATATGAGGTTTTCAACCCAATCTTAGGTACAATATTAACAGAAGCGCCTGATAAGATGTGTAAGTGCAATGGAGTCAGGGAAAGGTTTGCTTTTTTGATGGGCAGAGAAACTGAAAACTCTCAGCAGCAAAGACCTGACGAGTCACACTCACATCTTAGGAAGCAGCTTCACTGAGGATTTAAACTCCTGATAGTTTTGAGAACAAAACTGAGCTCTTCACCAGTTTTTGCAAGCAAATCTTTCAGGGTGACATGCAAATAAAGGCACCTATTGATCTTCTTAGCTACATTCACAAACGGTCTTTAGAAGTGGGTCTCCCTAACACAGAAACAGCACTGTGTATTTTTTGTTGTCTTTGTGTAACTATGGCTGCTAGTGAAAGGCATTTCAGCAAGCTAAAATTAATCAAGACCTATCTAAGAACATCTATGGGGCAGGAAAGTTTAGCGATCTGGCAGTTATTGCTATAGGAAATTTAGGAGCAAGGTGGATAGATGGGGATGAGCTAATTAATGAGATTGCATCACAGAAGGCTAGGAAAGTCCCTGTGTAAAAGTATCTTGTGTTGAGTGCTGGGTTGTTGTTTTTTTGTGGTCAGGGAAAGGGGACAGATTTTAGTCTTTGAACTGGGCCTGGAAGACCCTTGGCACGTCACTGGGCTAAACTGTGGCTTTGCAAAAAGCCTTAAGGGGCAGCGTGTTGCATGCACTGCCCCAGGAGCAGATCTGAAACCATATTGTTACTCCAGGTGTCATAATACGGTCCCTGATTCCCACTTTGTCCTCAGGGGAGCAGGGTGGGAGGGAAGAAGCAATCTGCACCAGCTATATGCCTACTTAAGTGTACATCCCCTTCCATGCCAGGTCATCTGTGCTGGCTGGTACATTGTAGAGGTAGGGACTAAATCAAGGGTCCATCCATCACTGCCCCTGCCTCTGTCTGCCCAATTTCCCCACTCGCTTGTGTGTATGGGAAGATTAGCAACACTTGCAGAGGCTGTTCTCCCCATGATAATGGGTAGCCCATGCAAGAGAATAAGAGGGGGAAACTCACACCATATTACTGCAGAGGTGCATGGGATGAGTGACAAGCTTGCCCTTCACAATTTCAAATTCATCATCAATTTTACTATTTCATATCTCAAAACTACCTCTGGTTAATTAATATCCATCACATAATGAATCTGAACATTGAGGTTTAGTCATACGATATATTGTCTGACAAATAATTTTTGGGATCTGACCAAATCTACTGAGAGAAAATATACATTTTCTTTCTTGCTGTATTTCTTGCTTTCTCTCCCTTCATCACTTAACCCTGTAACTGTAGCATGGGTTTGTAAAGCATTCTGGGCTAAAGTTTATTAAAGGCACTATATAAAAAAATACATAATTTTTAATAAATAGGAATGTAAAAATTATTATTTGGGGTCCTGACCTTTCCCTGAAGAAATAAAAATCTCAGGGGAAACAAATGCCATTTTAATCTTACCATTTTCCAGCTGCTAGAAACAGTCATGTTGTGGTGCATTGCATATTTCAATAGGGGATTTTTTATAATTAAGGGAATGAAAAATAAATGAAATTGGCAGCATCCATTTTACTTTTAGATGAGAAAAGAAGGGGAAATGTATCAGCTATAACTAACCGGAAAAAAAAAAAAGGTTACAACCAAAATTTGCCTCTCGTTCATTATCTTTGAAAGTGGCCATAATGATAAAGATGCAATATTAAAGGGGGAGCTGCTGCGTGCTCGTCTCTTTTGAAAAATCAGGCCACTTTTTAGTTTCCTAAATATAGATTTAGGAACCTAACTTTAGGTACCCATTTTTAAATTCTTGACCAGTAATCTTACTTTATTTCTGAAAATCAAGCTGCTTCTGGGATGCATTAGCAGGTGTGTTGTGAGCAAGACACGAGAAGTCATTCTTCCGCTCTACTCTGCTCTGGTTAGGCCTCAGCTGGAGTATTGTGTCCAGTTCTGGGCGCCGCATTTTAAAAAAGATGTGGAGAAATTGGAAAGGGTCCAAAGAAGAGCAACAAGAATGATTAAAGGTCTTGAGAACATGACCTACGAAGGAAGGCTGAAAGAACTGGGTTTGTTTAGTTTGGAGAAGAGAAGACTGAGAGGGGACATGATAGCAGTTTTCAGGTATCTAAAAGGGTGTCATGAGGAGGAGGGAGAGAACTTGTTCACCTTAGCCTCTAAGGATATAACCAGAATCAATGGGTTTAAACTTCAGCAAGGGAGGTCTAGGTTGGACATTAGGAAAAAGTTCCTAACTGTCAGGGTGGTTAAACACTGGAACAAATTGCCTAGGGAGGTTGTGGAATCTCCGTCTCTGGAGATATTTAAGAGTAGGTTAGATAAATGTCTATCAGGGATGGTCTAGACAGTATTTGGTCCTGCCATGCGGGCAGGGGACTGGACTCGATGACCTCTCGAGGTCCCTTCCAGTCCTATAATCTATGATTCTATGATTCTATTTAGGAGCCTAAATATGGCCTTATGAGTCTAAATCTAGACATCCATTTTGAAAATCTTGGCCAATCTTGCTAATACAAAAATGTGGTGAATACAAAGCTTCTTTATTATCATTTTATTTCTTTATACTCTATACAAGCAGTCTTACTTACATCCTTCCCGTGCCAATGTGGGCACAAAGGGCAAGAACCACTCTCACCCATTCCTCTGCTGCTTCCATTTGCCATATTGTGTTGAGATCAACTATTCTGCCCTTCCTGCTAAGCATTCTTCATAAGGCTTCTCTTGGGTACCTTCATTTTCTCAAACCAGTTGGTTTCCACTTGACAGTTTCATGGGGGAGTTTGGGTGTTGCCATTCAGAGTACATGTCCCAAATATATCCAGCATTTCCTTTTGATTCTGGTGGAAATATAATAATAGTTTGTAATTTCTCAGTTCTCTGCGTTGGTGATGAAGTCTTCCCAACCAGTGCCCAGAATCTTTCCTAGGCACTTATTTTCAAAGGTGTCTAGTTTTCTCTCCATTTTTTAGTAGCTCTCCAGTTCTCACAGCCAGATGTTAGCATCAAGATTTTTTTTAATTGAAAATTCTCAGTTTTGTTCTGGACTGTATATCTCTTGATTACTGTACATTGCTGAGTTTAGTGAATGCTGTCAATGCCTTTCCTATCCTTGGAGTCACTTCCTTTCTGAGGTCTCCAGTGGCTAATATAGTGCTGCATGGGTAGATGAACTGCTTTACTGTCTTGATATTTTTGCTTTCTAATGTGATGTTAGATATTATGTTGACATCTGGTTTTCAAAGAAGTTTGTTGTAGCATAAGTAATTTTGAGCCTCACTTGGCCTGTTTTTTTTTTTTTTTGTCCAAGTTGCTTGTTTTTGTAACTTTGTGAGGTCTTCTGGCATTTGCCATAAACCCATGCTATACCTGTGTTTGTGTTGCTAAAACACTTCTTCATTATCCAGTCTAGGGCAATGCCAAACAATAAGGGAGATAAAACAAAGCCCTGTTTCACACTGGTGTCTTCATTGAATCACTCTGTTGTCTGGTTGTTCACCCTCACAAAGATATATATTCATCTCTTCCTAAAGCAGAAACTGTTTGTCGTGGGGAGGAAGGTCACTGATATATAGTGTAATATAGTGTAATATGTGAATGTTGCCTCCATTCCTATGCAAATAAGTATTAAAGACTCATGAAGACATTCTGCCATATAAAAAATGGCAACAACAGAATTAAAAACTTTCAGTCCCACTATACTCATTATCACTATTAAGATTTTAATGGCATTTAGGCACCTAATTCCCATTTGTGTCTTTCAAAAATCTTCCAAGATATTAACCTAAATTCTCCTTATCTGTTCTTTTAATCTGCAAGTTGGATGAGCAACACTTGGCAAAGCCTTCAGAAATCACATTTCTGGAGTCGAGTTTCAAACCGAAACACAGCTGGTTGACAGACAGCAAATGAAAAGAATGGCTTTCTTGGGATCAAATATCCTTTATTTGTTATGGTGGATTGTTTTAATATATGACCTCTACAAATTCAGTATTAGTTAATTATTCTATACCTACCATTTCTTGTATCTAGAAGGAGCTCATTCCTACTCATAAAATGAGAAAGTCCTTCTGTTTTAATTTATACCACTATTTCCTTCTGTTGACTATTTGAGCAATGGGCTGGTGAGGCACGAGCATTCTACTCTGCAGTGGTTTTGAGGCAGAGACAAGAAAAAGCGTGACTGCGATTCTTTCTCCGTCTGTTTCTTAGGGTTTCCAACTTTCTAATTGCAGAAAATGGAACACACTTGCCCCACCCCTGCCCCACGGCCCCACCCCAGCCATGGCCCCTTCTCTGAGGTCCCACCCTCACTACATTCCCCCCTCCCTCCGTCACTCGCTCTCCATCCCCCTCGCTCACTAGCTCATTTTCACCGGGCTGGGGCGGGGGTTGGGGTGTGGGATGGGGCTCCAGGCTGGGGGGGGTCTTGGGCCAAGGGGTTGGGATCTCAGTGCTGGGGCAGGGGGTTGGGGTGTGGGAGGGGATGAGGGCTCCGACTGGAGGTACAGGCTCTGGGGCGGGAGGATAAGGGGTTTGGGGTGCAGGAGTGGGCTCCAGGCTGGGGGCTGGGGAAGAGGGGTTTGGAGTTTGGGAGGGGGCTTCGGGCTGGGGCAGGGGGGTTGGGTGTGGGAGGGGGTACGGGCTGTGGGCAGGGGGTGCAGGCTCTAGGCTGGGACACAAGGTTGGGATGTGGGAGGGGATGAGCACTCTAGCTGGGGTTATGGGCTTGGGGGTAGGGACAGGGATGTGGAGTTTGGGGTACAGGAGGGGGCTCCGGGCTGGGGCTATGGGGTTTGGACTGTAGGAGGGGTTTCAGGGTTGGGGCAGCGGATTGGGGTGTGGGAAAGGGTTCATGGTGTGGTCTCTGGGCCACACTGACCTCATGCGGCTCCCAAGAAGCAGCGGCATGCCCCTCTAGCTCCTAGGCAGAGGGACGACCAGGGGGGCTCTGCACACTGCCACCGCCCGCAGGCACTGCCCCCGCAGGTCCCATTGGCTATGGTACCCGGCCAGTGGGAGCTGTGGTGCCGGCACTTGAGCGGTGCCTGAGGGCAGGGGCAGTGCCCAGAGCCCCCCCGGCTGCATCTCCGCCTAGGAGCTAAAGGGACATGCTGACCACTTCCCAGGAGCCACACGGAGCCAGGAACAGAGCCTGCCTGCTCAACTGTGGCCAACCAGACTTTTAGTGGCCCAGTCAGCTGTGCTGACCAGAGGCGCCAAGGTCCCTTTTCAACCAGGCTTTCCAGTCGAAAACTGAATGCCTGGCAACCCTATTGTTTCACCACAGCCTGGCAGAAACATGACTTACTATGAAAGGGATGTGCTGTAGTTAGCTTGATGGGATTGTCACCAGTCACAGCCTTTTAAGCTCATGACAATGACAGGAATGTTTCATTGTACACACCTTTCAACTGAGACTTTCTTGGAGATTGTAAAATCTTCCAAGCCCCTTGCACAGAAATGTGTAATTGAAATTTATATATTTTTTTAAAATAAGCAATTTTGTAGAATTACTAAATCTTCTGGTTACTGCAGATGTGAGGCTCTACATTTAAAATGTGCAGCAAAATTGCTATAACTTTATTTTGGTAATTAATGTATTACATGATGTGTAAAGAATTAGGCACACCATTCTTATTAGCAATAGAGCAGGAATGCCTAATTCCTTCTAACAGAGGATTAATTATCAAAAGGGGAATTACATGCATAAATCCCCACATACTGTGATAAAAATAGACCCTTTTATCTCTAAACTGCTGAGGCACCATCATATTGTATCTTGTCAAACCATCATTTAAAATTTGTAGCTGCTATTCCCTTTTCCTTTGTTGCTCCAACAAACTGTCTCGTTTTATTAAAACATTTTTGTTAGGGAAGTTTATCATCTTTCCAGTTGAGGTGGTTTTCAAAGATTTATAAGTAACTCTTTATTAGGGAGGGATAACGTCTGTTTCCTAAGGCAAAAGTCTTGATTTTTTTAAACCCTTACATTCAATGAAGAAATAGTTTGAACGTCGTGCACACGTCCAAACTCTGCATAGCTTTTTCCTTCTCATTCTCTAGTTGTCTTACTGCAGCTGCACAGCTCTTGCCTTTCTTGGTATCAAACCATGCTTCCAGCTGTCACTTGACTTGGAGACTGTGTTACTCTCTTCTCCTCTGATTATCCAGCTGCAATTGAGAATTACCCCTAGAGCAATATGGTTTCCCATTAGGTCTATTGTGAGAGAGAGACTTACATGGGTACATTGCAAAAGACTTCTCTTAATCGGACTCTCAGCATGATCAATGCTTTTATGAAGAAGCAAGCAATGACTTTTCAGAGAACCAAATAATCCTCTTATGGCCCCAATCTAGCAAAGAACTTAAACACATACCTAAAGTTCAGTGACTGCTGAATCGATGCCTATAATCTCCATTCCAGTACACCTGGGTAATTCCTTGATGTGAAGTTTTGGATAAAGAAGCAAGGAGTCTTTCTTCAAGTGAATATTACACAATTGCCAGTTTGGTTTGAGTTTACTATAGGCAGATAGTCTATATAGGTGTTTTAAAGCAGTTGTAGCATGTACTCCAAAATCTTTTGGACTATGGAATTTTCATGCACAAAAGATACAACAATGCACATATCATATAGAAAACAAACATCCTAAATGCAATACCCCTCACTATAGCTCACCCTTTCTTTGGGAGAACATCTGTGTTCAGGTAGACAGAGCTAACCCCCCCATCAGGCTCTTGCAGGGGTTTCCCTGTGCTTGAGCTGGTGAAAATGGCTGAAAACCCCTGAATACATCAGTTCCTGCTCTTTATGACCTTCCATCCCTCTGTCAGGAGCAGGGCCGGCTCTAACTTTTTTGCCACCCCAAGCAAAAAAAAAAGGGCCGCCTTCCATAGCGCCGCCATAACGTACACCTTCAGCACCGCGACGCCACCCCCACCGTGAAGTGCCGCACCACCGAACCCCCCCTGCTGAACCCCCCAGCCCCCCGCAGAGCACCGCCGAACCCCCAGCCCCCTGCGGAGCACCGCGCAGCTGAACAACACCCCGCGGAGCACCGCGCCGCCCGACCCCCCCCCACCGAACATCCCCAGCCCCCCGGTGAAGCGCCACACTGCCGAACCCTCCAGACCCACGCGGTGTGCCGCACAGCCCAACCCCCCCCCCGCGGAGCGCCACACAGCCGAA